CATGCCTTCCTAAAACCGCAAGGAAATCTTGAAAACCTTTGAGTGCCAGTTCCCCCGGTGCTACTAAACTCGTGAGCAACTGTACTTGCCTTGTCCTATTAGGCTTAAGACGACGTCCACTCTACTTGTGTCTGCGACACTGTTTGCTCTCAAAAAAGCTTGCAGTATTCCTTGGTAGGATGACCACTCTCTCTTTGAGTCATCCAAAGGTTCAACTTGCCCACGCCATCCTGACTGGCTTCGGTGCCTCGGTTCCGAGAGGTCAGTTTCCGCTCCGGCTGCGTCCCATGGCAGCAGCCGCGTTGCCACTGTGTTGCATTCAATGTCGTTGCTGCATCGCTTTACTGACACCAAACCAATACAACAACCGGATGGTGCGCTGCTGGCTCTCATATCGCGCTATGCTGCTTCCAGGAGCGGTTCTGGGCCACTATCTTATCACTGATATTGCGGCACTTTATTCGCAGCACCTTACTTTGAAACACTATTTTAAGACAAAACACCGAGAGAAAGGAAGGATGATGCAACACAGTTTTTTCTCCAGTCTCGAAGATTTCGTCTTAAAAGATGTTAAACCATTAGTTTGAGCCCTAACGCTCATTGAAATAGTATCCTGTAACATCCAGTTGCTTCTCGAATGTTATCGTATTAATGTATTAATAAGATAAATCTATCACCAAGCATTGTTACCTTTCCGGCAGACATGCTTGTCAACTTGTGTCTCGAAAGAGAGGACCTGCCGAACGTTTATGTGGAGCAATCATATTTTTTAATTCGTGAAAAATTAGCGAGTCAAGCCGCAATGTCTTGGACAAAAGTAGTATGTGGAAATTGTGGATCAGAAGCCCAGAAGAAAAGCCTGGCATCCTCCGACAGATGAGCAGGCTGGGCTAGCTTGTCTCACTTAGCAGATGAGCAAACTGGGCAGCGCTGGCACCACGTGACGCAGGCTAGTCCCTCGTGCAACGTGCACGAGGGACTAGCCGGTATGTTGGTGCCCCGAGCCATACCACAGTGTTTCGGCCAAACGGACCGGTGTCTTCATCTAGGGGTCAACTTTTACGGTGCTTCGAGATGGCCGCCATGGGGCCTCAGCCCTAAGAGTGGCGCCTTTTTCGAGATGAATGTTGCAGTGACATTTGAGTCTGAGGCTTTTGATTGGTGGGAAAGAGTGCAAAGGAGAGATATGCCCATTCATTTGTTTGTTTGTATATGGACGCAAGGTCTGAGGCCAGATTCAGGAAGAGCTGAGGCTGCGACAACTTAGCTAAGAAGTTTGTAAGCTACGGACATCGTAAGAAGTGGAGATATCGGTATTCACAAACGCATTCTTAATTGAGAGGAGGAAAGCGACGTTCTCATATGGAAAAATGAAATTCCGTTACCTCGCAAGCTTCCAATCCCTGCGAGAGCGCGCTGTCGTCATGGTGACAGTGGCCTTGGCATTGCGAACAACCATTCGAGAGCTCTGCATGGTTCGTAGCACGTGGATTTCTCGTAACAACAAACGCAGGCTGCCTTTCCGCCAAAGCTTGTCTAATGTTGACGCTACCGGGATTTAAACGTGCCAGAATGCTGAGGTCGGTTTAGCCGCCTTCATCAACTGCTACGGACTCGATTGCTACGAAGTGAACGCAGCTATCATTGTTGCTAAAAGGAGATGGCCCGCACTGCTCGTTTGTAAAAGGGCATACGTGAAAACAAATCGCCATGGCGTTTTTCGTGGCCTCTGGAATCTAGGAGCAAGCCTACGTCCAAAGATACGTTTGACCCACGATAATGTCAACAAGAGCCACGTGAACACCTGTTCACACTAGTGGGAGTGGGCACACTCTTGCTTGATCGAACCACTGGATCCGCTTTGTTGGACCGCGTCTCAATAACTGCTTGGGGACTGATCTTTTACGATTGCAACTAGATGCCGACGTGACACTCGGCAGAGTAAGGTTAAACCGGCATTGGGGGGCGTAGCTCCCACAAACTGGTACAGCTCGGCTGTGTTGACATACCACTATGTCGGAATAAAAAGGACACACTAATAACAAAGCGTACATAGCATATGTTGCGAAGGTAATTCTTACGGCGTTTATTTGTATCGCGCAAAACGAGGAATCGATGATAGTGTCTCTTTTTGGCCAGGGCGTTTACCACCGCTGCCTCTGAAAACAAAGGGATGACAGGGGGAAGAGGTGGACCTCCGAACTGAATATTGAGATCAGCGATCAAGCTTTTTAGACGGGGAGGGTACACGAGGGTCGCGCTGGCATATTCCATTTAGCAAGCCAGCCGGTCGGTCGTAGGTCTTGGCCAGGGACCGTTGGAGCAACGCTGCGTCAGATTGCCTTGCTAGGGTAGCCCTTGGCGGTCGCTTGGTCGGTGTCATCGTTGCCGTTATAGCCTTTTCCGGACGTCCGTGGATCCAGCGTTGATCTCTATCGTGGTCGTTTTTCGAGTACTTCTTTCTTTTTTCTCGCTGCTTGAAGTGGGGACACGAGTAAAGAACCTGTACAAAAATCAACGTCCGTTGGTCGTTGCAACCAGGTAACCGAGGAACACTGTCGTCCGTGTTGATTTCATATTAAAAAAGTGCCTAAGACACCTCTCATAGGATTCTGTCGTAACTTACGCAACACTTACGATAATTTCGTTTCGTGAATGCAAATTTATTCTTAGGTTTTGTCCTACGCACATTTTTAGTGTAAGATTGTTTCGTGAATCTGGCCTCAGATTTGTTTGACGAGGTCCAAACTCTCCTCCACACGCTGCAAAAAGGCTGAAGAGAGACCGCGGTGGCCAGAAATTGTTTCCGGGGCAATTTGTTTTCGAGGTCCGTTTTCTGCCGTCATTTTGTCTTCATGAAGCCTCTTTTCCTGTTTCTGTGGAAACTCGCATAGTTCGGCGGAAGAAAACCAAAAAAATGTTTTGTCGCTACAGAAATGATATTATTACAGTGAATATGTAGCTCTCCTAGAGTTATACATGATGGGGAAAACAGCTCAGAAAACACGGACTACGAAGAGGAACACACACGACAGGACAATGCTGTACTCGCAACTGAAGAATTTTAATAAAGGAAACAAAGACAGAAAAACCATACACAGTATCTTAAAAGATTGCACAAAAACAAAGGACCACTCTCGCCAACCGTGAAGCGTGTAAAAAAAACTACCCGTTCACTACGTGACTCATGTTTTGCCGCAGGAAGGAAATTTCTTTGGCTGACAGCGCCAATGACGGTTCACTTACACAGGCATGACCATGACACAGAATGTGGAAGGCCTCAATGATTTCTCTCGTCACCCTATCCTTGTGCGCTCCCAGAACGGTGACTCTGCCAAAGTCAGGCCGACACTGGCAATGGGCGGTTGGTCAAAGTCAGGCCGACACTGGCAATGGGCGGTTGGGGGGCAAAAGCACCCCAACCGCCCATTCATTGCAGAGATTGCCAGTGTCGGCCTGACTTTGGCAGAGTCACCGTTCTGGGAGCGCACAAGGATAGGGCGACGAGAGAAATCATTGAGGCCTTCCACATTCTGTGTCATGGTCATGCCTGTGTAAGTGAACCGTCATTGGCGCTGTCAGCCAAAGAAACTTCCTGCGGCAAAACATGAGTCACATAGTGAAGGGGTAGTTTTTTTGACACGCTTCACGGTTGGCAAGAATGGTCCTTTGTTTTTGTGCAATCTTTTAAGATACTGTGTATGGTTTTTCTGTCTTTGTTTCCTTTTTTCAAATTCTTCAGTTGCGAGTACAAAATTGTCCTGTCGTGTGTGTTCCTCTTTGTAGTCCGTGTTTTCTGAGCTGTTTTCCCCATCATGTATAACGTCAACCAACTGGCCCAGTTCTCCACCTTATTACAGTTTATCTCTCCTAGAGTATAGCTTTGAGTTTTTTGCGGTTATATCTCGCGATACATTTTGTTCAGATAAACGAGTGGGGGAGACTTTATCTCTATGGCTGAATTTGGTGTGTTTTCGTTCACATTTTTTTCCTTTTGTTGGTCAAGCTCTTTTACACAACTGACGTTTCCCAATAGTCGGGTTTCTTTTCCACAAGTATAAAAAAAGACTCAATGTGCAGATCTTTTCTGTCTAGCGGGAGTACATACAGTGCTTGCAAGCTGTTCAGGGTTGGAAGTGTCAATGGAGAAGGCGAAAAGTTGTCGGCTTACTTCCATGTGGTTCCATTGGCACGCTTGCTTCCCCGACGTTGCATACTTAGCAGAGCATCCCCATCGGATGGTAAGCTCTCATCCTCTCACTTCAGTGCTAAGAAGCGTTAAAACTCTGAATCGGAAGAGCCGGTGCTTCAATTGCCACTACCGCCAGAGCAGCCGACATGCGAAGTGCCCACCTAGCGCGAATCACGAAGCATCTCATTTCAAAACTAGAAATAGCCCCACAAAGCGAAACAATGTGCAAATATAACGTTTATAGTTTGCTAAAGGCAAAACAAAAATCCCACAGCGCATGTGTTTTCACATTTGGGCGGGCACTTTAAAATGTGTGGTCGCCGTCGTACATGTATGGCAACGGCTTTCAAGGGGTTAAAAATGGGGCAGAGAAGCACATTCTTCGTCGAGAACGAAAGGGAAGAAAAGTGATCTTTAATAGAGAAAATATAGTAAAGTGCAGGCGAGCTGGTGAATATTAACCACATTGAATTAACCTGAGACTGGGGTAGAAGAGAACCATCAAAACATAGAAGGAAGAGATAATAGACATTAACATTGAAATGAATTCTACATAGCAGAGATTTTGTTTCTGCCTCACCTTCTTTTCCCCCAACGTCCCGTTTTCTACTCTGAGCATATTGGGGTCACCATAGGACTGCGGCTCTGGAAAATTAAGGCGTCACGATGTAAATATTGCATTTAACTTTCTTTTTCTGGGAAGGGGAGGGGGGGGGGGTTTATTTCACACATGCCTTATTCGGGCCGTCTAAAATACTAAATGTTTTTTGAGAGTAAAGTCTAAATATTATGTTGCCTTTGCCCGCAGTACTCTTCGTGGATTCCGCAAGATGCGACCAAGTACGCTCGGCTGGACGTCTGCGTGTCTTCGTACACCAGACAGAGTTGGGTCGTCGAGCTCTTGTCCATAGAGAAAGAAGCGCTCGACAAAGTGTGAGTGGTTCACGACACCGCCCAATGTTTCCCTCGGTGTGTGACGTTCTGTCGATTTAAGTGAGAGGTGGTTTCAAACCAGGGTCCTTGTCATACATAGCTGCAGCTGGGAGGGATTTTCAGACAAGTGGCTGCTATGCAAGTTTGCTGTATGTTGCTCTTGCTGAGGACACTGCGCATGCTCCGAATGCAGTCATATAAAAAAAAAAATGCGAGGAATATTGCCGCTCAGCACATCCGAAAATCATCGTCTGCACAAATCGGTGAACCAGGCGGCGTTATATGATGCTGCGTAATGCTGCGCAAAGCATCTTGGGTACCCGTTGGCCACTTTGGTTTCAATTTGCCAAGCTTACTCGATGATACGAAATTAAAAACAGCGCGGAAAGACGAGAACCAGACAAAGAAGTGACACGGACGTAGTGCTGTTCACTATCATCATGTCAAGACGAAATACAACGCTCGGATTTCCCATTCTTTCCTTAGATTTCAACTAATACTAGAAACCGATACGGCGGGCGGGACGACGAAGGCACGTGGAACAGGTGGCTCCTAAATGTCTCGTATTATTCGTGGGTTGCGCTCTGGAGGGGTGTCCGCCAGAGAGGTGTGCGACGTGGTCGCTCCTACTCCTTGCTAAGCCTATCCTTACAACCGCCGGAGGTCCCTGCTTTGACGGGTGCGGTGCAAGCGAGCACCGACTTGCTTGGTCAACGAGGCAACTGAAACCGTACCATTCCTCTCCTTGGCCAGCCAGGACTCGTAACGCAGTGTCGTTGCCTGCAGGGATTTTTATGAGCAGTCTGTTCGACGAGCTTTCACTGTCATTCACAAATTGCTCGCGTTAAGCAAGTTTTGTAGGTAGTTCACTAGCTGCAACAGTGAACCAACTTCCAGAAAAGACGAAACTATTAAAACGGAATGTTCCTTTACAACAAATGGGGAACCAGAGCAAGACTGAAGCAGCTCTCGGCTTCAATTGGTTTTGTGTGCGGCAGTTTTTTTTGTATAGCTGGTCGAGTAGTTGCTAAAGTTGCTTTCCTCTCTTTTCTCCGCACGAGAAGCCGGGAGAAGTGGGCTCTGAGCGACGTGGAGCGTGAGCAGAAGAAGACGGCCATGCTCAAGTCCAAGTTTGAGGTGTACCTCCAGGTCCTGCTCAGCAACGTCCTCAACTCCAGTTTTCTCATCGAGGTCCACGAAGAAGACGGTGAGCTCTTTCTGGGGTCTCCTGCTGACAAAAGGGGCACCTCTGTGTCATTTTCGATGGGCCGCCCAAGGAAATGCCAAATAGGGCTTGGACAGGTGTCCAAGCTAAGACATGTGTTCACGCTTGGCAGAGCCTGTCCTGTCTACACAAATAAATATAGGCTTCGCTTTCCATCTGGGAATGAGGGTTTCCTGCATCGTGTGCATTTCATCTTTTGCCTCCAATTGTCATTGATTATAAGGTCCTTCCTTACCACGGGAAAACTGCCCATTTTCGGAGAACCCCCATATTCTTTTTACAAAAAAGTGTATGCTTCTAGAATTCGTTGCAGTATATCAAAGTATAGTGCCATAAATGCTCTTTTTAGTGTATAATTAAGTATGAAATAAGAGTCTAATAAATTATGCAAGAATTAATTTCTGAAAACCAAAATTATTGCGGTTTATCCAACAAAAATTAAAAAGATGGGCAAATATGTCGGCAAAAAGTGCTGGCTCAAAATTTTGGAATATGCAAAGTATGCCAAATTTCAATAGCAAGAAAGGCTGCATATTGCGGTGCTCTAGATAAAAAAACTTGTCAAGTTCTACCTCATAGTCTCAACCTTTGTGGCGTGCATGCCGTTCGGCAAAGCAGTTTCTGGTTGCGGTGAAACGGGTACATAAATGTAGCAGCTAGATGCTGCAGAATTCTCAATTTTTTTTGTTTGTTTGATGCAGTTGTTTAGGGGTAGGGGGAGGTTGGACATACAACTACGAGTCCAAAGATCTGTTGGGCAAGCTTCATTCAGAATGCCAGCTGAGCAAAACTTTTGTAGAGTTCAGGAATGTTAAATCACCTTCTTGTGGGAAAAACAAGAACTATGCGGAAACTGAAACCAGAGTGTGCATTCGAACTACCAGATGCCGTAACTTGTCCAGAAACGCCTTGGAGGCTTTGCAACTGGACTTGCATATCGTCGATCACGGTTTATCTATTTTGGTGGGTGCGGTAGGGAGAGGTAAAGGGGCAGTGTAACGATTTTAGCGCCGAAAGAATGTGCAGCTCGTATTATTTATATTGTTCATCTTAGCTCCAGTGAGAGATGACTTTCCCCCGATAAACTGCTAATTCCGCCGCGTAATCACAAAGAAAAAAACGCATTATTTGCTGATCTGCAGCCGCGTGTGGCGGTTACGGCAACACCAGTGTCGCGTCAGTGGAGTACACCCGGAAGTGAGCAAAAGCAGTCCCCCCTTGGTGGCGAACCGTCTCTTGATTGGATCGCCCGTTGCGAGTTTTGACGATCCTAGTCCTTGACAAATCTGCAATCGCGGAGGGAAGCACTCCCAAGACAGAACGAGAAACGAGGTGGTACCCCAGTGACATCACTCGAAAGACTGCGTGAGACTCCAGAGGTGTTCCGGCCTTCGCTTTGTTTTCTTTTTTAAACTAAAAACTGGCGCGCAAGAAAAAGTTGTTTTCTGCTCTCCGTTCTGGAGGTAACGCGGATGAATTCCCGCAGTTAATTGGCCAAAGTCCGAAATTTGTTGTGCCGCTTGCACTCGTAACGTAAAAAACGGTAAAAAATATTGAAGGTTTGAAATTTTGACAATGTGGAAAGTTTGAGAAGTTTTGGGGTTCAGTAATTGACAAGCAGAATTTTCGTAAATTTTTACAGTTCTCGTTTTCTAATAGGTTGGAAGCCCACCCCACGACACATTATTACCTCATTCCTTCCGACCGACATTTTGTTTTCAACCAATCGTCGCTCGCCTTCACCAGGGTGGAGACTAAAAATCAAGATGATTTAAAAACAAATCTTGCCCACAAAAATAATCCCGAAAATAGTCTTTAATTACCGTTTGTCTATGACCTTATGCTTTTTATGCGCATTTGTTTTGTACTGAAATCAAAGAATCATCGAGCAAGAAAAATTTACGTCATGCTGAACGCAAGCAGAAAGCAGTTCTTTTTCTAAGCAATAGACCCTTTCCGGAATTCAGTCTGGCCACTTTGATCACTATCATCATCTGTGGAACGGCATCTGTGCCTTCTAGTGACTGATAACGGAAGACGTTGAAGATGCTCCTAAGCGGATGATGTGAGGCCTGTACATTTGGGGGGTCAGTACGACGCGACGTAGGAAGGGAGCGCAAGAGCTACGTAAGCGTTTATTTCTAATAACTCAGATTCAGTCCATCTGTGGGCGGCACACAATCGCTTTAAAGCACTTTGGTGTCTAGAGTTGTTCTGAATGCAGGTTCTTGGTCACCATCGAACTGAAAGTGATCGAGAAAGAACTCGCACTGAACAATTCCTCGTGTGCCGTTGACTTGCAAAAGTGGCGGTGCCGATACAAGTTCATTTCCGCCATTGATATGGCAAAACTTAAACTGCTTTACGAACCACCAGATGGCACTGAATTTCAGAAAGGGTCTATTCTAAGCATTGAGCATTCTTTCTACCTTCCACTTGGTTTCTGAGTTACGTAATGTCTTATTGGGAGCAAATTAGAACACGAAAGCAAAGCAAATAAAGCTTCTAGCTAACTAAAAAAGTGAAGCTGTTCTAGTATGGCGGGGGTACATAAAAAGAAAGCGTTAATGAAACTGTTCTTACAGTAATTCTTTCTTCCTGATTCTTCTCAATGATTGGACGGATTGAGCTGTCAATTCTGCTATCTCGAGAAACTCATGAAGTCATATGTTCTAGCCACAGTGATTTAAATGGAATTAATCCGATTTATATCAGATAAGTCCGATTTATTTTATTTAATTCATAATTTTTTTCACCCTGGCCTCTACAGATTAAGTCAATGGGCTTTCGGCGAGAAGCCGACGTCGCGAGTTTTCAAACGTGACTGCATCGTTGCTTGGTTCTAAAGCCCCTTTATACTGAAAGAAAAGGGGCTTTTCCTCAAGGATCTATCGCTCATTCCTCCGTGAGGAATGAGCTTGCCGAGCCGGCAAACCGTTGCTAGGTCGGTCTTTCTTTGCCTCGCAGCGTGTTTTTTGCTAGAGTATGAGTTGTCCCGGACTTCTTGGCGACTGGGTATGTCTTTCCATTGCGTCTGGAGACGCGAGTTTTGTCGAGGCTTCGGCTGTGTGCCTGCTCAGATCATTACTAGGCTCGAGATCAGATGCAGTCAAAATTGAATCGCGAGACAGATGGTCCTACTCTCCTTTTGGGCAAACAGGGGAGCCAAAACTATAAGCGTGCACACATTTTTCTTGTGGAATGCAGAACCATGACCTTACGCTGCAAATGGAGCAAAGCACACGGTAGTTTCCGTGCCACTGACTCGCTCGTTTTAGTCGACAACAAATATCACTCGCGCCTTTTTGTTTCTGCCTCGCCCTAGTGAGGTTGAGATGAAAAGAGGTGTTGTAAACACGCGCAAGTGTTCACGTCGTGGCCACGTCATAGCGGCGACGTAGTAGTATGCATGTGTATGCACGCCGCCAAAGGACGCGAGGTTGCGACACGAAGGGGCGAACCGAAACCGGGCGGGTGCTTGACCAGTCACTGGTAGTGGCAATGGGAACTTTCGAGAGGAGGATTTTTCTAGAGGGTGAGGGCGTGTCGGAGGATCAATGAATCGCTTTCAGTTTAGTGGGGTTTTCGTGGGTTCAGCCGAGATGTTTTGCACGCAAATATCCGAGCCAAGAGTCTCGTTCATAACCCCTTGCCTACTAAGAACGGGTGTCGCTCGTGTTGCCTTTTGTGGAGCATAAAGCCCGACCACGAGAGTGACTCGTGTTTTGGTTTCGGCACTTGTTTAACATGCTGTCCAGCAGATGGCAGCACCATCCCTCGTTGCTCCACTTACCTCGGGTTGTCTGCTCGTTTGTTTCACTGTTTGGAGGAGAGAGGGTCTGTTTTAGCCAACAAAGAGATCCAAAAACTTCTTTTTTTAAAAGTGACAAATACTCGGGCAATTCTGACGACGAAAAACCCGGCATGGGCATGCAAAGTATGCCCAGCCAGCAAGAAACGGAGTAAAACGTACAACGTGAAAATGTGGACAAATACAAAATGGTTCTCCCTCTTTATTAATCGGCCTGGAGAACTGCCGAAGACCGGAAAATCAGAAGTCTCGATTTAGAGCAAGATATCGCACCTGGAAGTCAAGGAAATGCTTTCGTCTTATTTTGATACAAATTGCCCGTTTAAAAGAAAGTTTTTCCGAATGTTCCTCGAAGGAGAAAATGAGAAGGCAAGGGGTGAAACTGTTCATAATATGGTATATAGCGTCATAGTTGTAGTTTTTGTGTGGCACACAACCTATTTAGCTGGCAGCCAAAATGCTGGGATGGGCCATATTTGTCGTGCCACCACTCTGGCATCATTATGAGGGATGAGCTGTGTCATTCCTTTTTCTTTCTGCGTACCGCTTTAGTGCATTCTCATTGAAATTTTCACACGCTCGTATTTCAAGTTATTGTCTCATTTTGTCTGTTGTAGACGAGTACTTCCTGGAAAACATGGAGCACGTGGATGGCGAAAACGGCGAGCACCTAAGGGAACTCCTGGAGTGCCACAGCCTGGATGGCGCCCTGGTGACGGCGTGCGAGACTTTCCCCCAACTCGTCAAGGCGGACCTCAAAGACCCAAGCACCGGAGGCATCTGCGACGTACGCTCGCTTCTCCACACCCTCGCCAACTCTCCTTTCCTTGGACGAACGGAATTTGAGCTCGCTTGCTCTCTCGCTGGGTGTGGCCGACGGGTACGTCGTGAACACGGTGCAAGAGTGTCTCAACGACGCTGCCTCGCCACAAAGCAAGTTTGCTCCCATTTCTGACAAATGCCGCGAGATGGCGTTTTGGGAGCTTTTTCCTTATTAGTATATACGTTTCCAAAACCGCAAGACTCGCAACCACACCTGCGCAAAAGGCTCCATGAACTTTCGACCCCGTTTTGGCCTTGTTCCTACACATCTCTCCTCTTCCACCGTGATTGTGACCGTCAAAAATTGAGCTTAATTGACTGTCATCCGAGTAACGTTGGTCAGGCTGGGTATCACGAATGGCCCTAGTTTGCTGGCGCCAGTGCACTAAGGATGTCTTTAATGTACCGGAGAGGAGTTTTTCACGCTTCATATTTTCAGTTTTTTGAGGACCCACAATTGTGGCAGCACTCCCTATCCGTACGCGGTGCTACTGCAGTTTTGGTGTTCGATGGCCAGGGATGTTGAGGTATTATGGTGTCGGCTTCACGGGTGACCAAATCCCATCCGCAGTTTGGTACAAGGCTGATCCAGCTCCGAGCAAATGGAGCAAAGAGCAGTCAAAGTAGATAAAGCCATTTTCTGGCGATTGCTTCGCACTTGACGCCCAAAACGCAGAGGAAAGGCTCTAGAGTTTTTCCAGCCCTGGTCTTTGTTCACTAGCCCCGTTTCTGGGGGACATTTGAGCTTTTGATGGGGAGGTTACGAGTTTCTGTCACCCTACTGAGAAGTGGTTCTCCCTGTAACGGGCAGAGAGGACGTTGTCCTTGAGAGCCCCCGCAGAGTCCAAAGAGGATCGAGTGAATAGTAGAGTTTCCCGTTCCAGGGTTGCAAGGAGGGCGGCAAAAGCACGGAGATGCGCTTTGGTCCGGAGCAGTACGACGAGCTGCGGCTGACGCTCCTGGTGCGAGAGGACCGCACGGAGCACGGCGGGCAAACGGCATTCGCCTTGTGCGACACCTGCGCCCGACTCGTGCAGCTCTACAGCCGGCTGTACCACTACCGGTACTTTGCCTTCCAGGCCTGCAAGAAGCAGGTACGGTGCCGCTTGGAATAGGCCTACCTGCTCCCTTCGATACAGCTGGAAGTGTTCTTTTTGCTTTCGTTAGCTCTGTCCCATTCGCATGAATGGCCTCAAGTACAGTAATCCCGCGTTATAACGAAATCACTTTTTTCAAATTATCGCTTTTATCAAAGTTCAACGTGGTTCCCATCGAAATGCACACATTTTTACCCGGAAGCGTGTCGCTCATTACGAACACTGCGGTTTCGAAAGCATGCAAGCCTAGACGGAGGCGCACGGAGACCCTCATGTTCCCTCCCCCCGAGGCAAAGGGCAAACTGGGAAAGCGGAGTAAACGGGTGATGGAACGCAAAGCGTACAGAGCTGGCAGAGGACCGCTTCCGATGTCGATGCCCCGACGCAACCACGCGGGCAGGAAGCAGCGAGAGCAGCGTCAATGTTCCGACGCTACCTGACTTTTGCCAGGATCGGGTGAAGGAGCTCGTCCCTTCGGGAGCCCCCAATGCACGCGCCTGCGGCATACTACACGCACATTCCGGGGCATCTGAGTGGGTTGGAGCTTTGTTCCGAGTGCAGGTTCTTGGTCACCATCGAACTGAAAGTGATCGAGAAAGAACTCACACTGAACAATTCCTCGCATGCCGTTGACTTGCGAAAGTGACGGTGCCGATACAAGTTCATTTCCGCCATTGATATGGCAAAACTTAAACTGCTTTAGAAACCACCAGGTGGCACTGAATTTCGGAAAGGGTCTATTTGACTGGAAAAAAATCAACCAACTGATTTATCGATTGATTAGTCCAGTGGTTCTCAAATGAGTGTCCGTGGACCCTTCGGGGTCCGCAAAGGCATTCTAGGGATCTGCAAGCCCTGCTTCATCAGTCAGTCCCGACAATAAAGTTGTCTTTTTTCAGATAGTAAATTTTTTAATCAACCCCCAGCTCCAATCAGCATTTAATGTTTTATAAAAGCTACGGATTGTGCGAGATAATAAAAATATGTGGGACCAGCGGTTCTACAAGCCATATCATAAAGATTATGGAAGCATCCGACTTAATAATATTCGAGACGCATTTATTAAGAAGGGTGCCCAAAGGGGGGCTGGGTGCAACGGTCAGAGGCAAACAGGGACAGAGCCAGAACCCATTCTGCTTGACTGGCGTACAAGGGGTGCCTGGCTGCGCAGGTGGCGAGGAGGTCGGAGAGCCCGCGGGGCCGCTCTTCCCCGATTACGCTGGTGCAGAACCTGGGCAGCAACAAGTGGCTGGTGCTGGAGAGCATGCCGCACGACCCCGTCTGGGCCAGCCTCGAGAACTGCCTCCGCGACGTCTCCTGGCTCGACCAGGTCGGTCGCGGCCCTCGCAACCACGCCTCTGCTTTTCCGGCTTGGAGCTCTTTTTTCTCTTGGCTCGAGGCTGTGCTCCAATTCTTGGGCAAAGAAAGAAGCGAGCGGATCTGCTCTTCCGGCACGAATGAAGGACCAGACTTAGTTCTGTAGGCATGAAAACATTTCCCTTCAAGGACAATCCGCACCAGGCACAAAATTTATGTATTCGACGTTCCAGGCTCGCTTGCCCGCAACTATCGGGAGTACGAATCACAGATTGGCTTTTTAAAGGCATGTTTCACAGTCACCTGCTGTGTAAGTGAATGATGCACCGAGCGTTCTCCTCTTCTCCCACCATTCTCCTAGATTGGGGGGTCCTTGCGGGAGACCTTTATGTGCAATTCTTATTTTGGAAGGTGTCTGTGCCATCATTGCGTGTGGGTCCCACATGGCACGTGCAGACTCTCGCGTACGTGTGAAGCGCTTGTGCGTGAATTCATCTGGAGTGAAATGGACTTTGCCATGCCCTGTGCATTTTTCAGATGTTCGAGAACCTCCAGTCGTTGTGGAAGGAGTGCAAGCATCTCACCTCCTTGGCATTCCTTCTCCAAGGCCGATGACCCCATGGCTCGTTACGCAAGAAGTGCCTCTAACTGCGAATATAAAGGTGGTCCTTATGAAATGAAAAAAAAAAAGTTTCCATTTAGTTTCGCCACCCGTTGACGGCCGAGCTCGGTGCTGCTGACTCTCTCAGTTCAGAATTCTGCCGAATGCGCTTACAGCCACCCGAGTTACAGTCACACTCGTGTTTCTTTGTCAAGCCAAGTACTTCACTGTTGAGAAGACCCCTAATATTGGGGAGGAGATGGAGGAGTGGCGCTCCCCAGCGGCCACCCCGGAAACTAACGCTCTGTGGCAAACAAACCCTTCGACCGCAGTCATTAGTGCATTCGCTGCCGTTGAAGACGGCGGTGCGAAACTCGTGAAAGATATGTAGCACTAGTCTTTTCTCATAAACGCATGTATACTATGTGTCACTAGTTGCGTGCAGTACAGCCAAAGGCAACGGCAGGCGAGGGAAGAAAACGCAAGCTCTAGGAAGGCTGGAGATGAGAAGAGATGCCTCCTCTCACAAACCTAGTGCTCTCCTTTTCCCCCTCACCCTCCTTTTCCATCTAACCTTCCTGGTGCTCACCCTTTCTCTCTTCGCCATGCACTGCCTTCGCCTGCACCGCACACAACTAGTGACACGGGGTATAGATAAAAGTAATCTAGTCTCCTCTTGTGTTCAATGTCATCAAGTCCTCTTGGAAGGCAAAAACAAGCGAATGTGTGGTTGTGGTGGATTCACGGGGGGGAAGGGGGGGGGGGGGGGGGAAGGGGGAAGGGAGGCTCTGAATGTCCCAACTTCCCTCTTTAATTTTGCGTGTAAAAATTTAGGGCGGGAAGACGGGGGGAGGTGCTCGAACATGTTGTATGCTGACCTGCCCCTTTGAAAATACCTCGATGCTCGGGCGTGCCGGGCCAGCCGCGTTGTACCGGCTGCATGCGCTGGTTCGTACGTGGCCGGCACGGCGTCTGTGTTTTTGTGAATGATTTACAAAACGCGCATATCACTTTTCAGTTACCCTGTATCTTGCGACAATCGTGAATGACGTCGGTGAAAGCAAGCGGTGTCTCGTTGAAGGAGAGGACGTGCTCAACTGCGATCGTGTCATTGAGTGCAGCGTTGCACCAGAGCCGACGGCGAACAAAGTCCGCATCGTTGCGTATGTGCTGCAGTCCTCCGTGCTGCATATACCCGGTTCAAAAGCATGCTTCGAGCACTGCGGTACGCAGCAAGTGTGCACCGTATTGCTACAAACAAATATGCAGTGAGCGCAGAAACGATGAAAACTTGCGCGGTGTACGCTAGGCAAGTGCTGGCATCAAAGTTGTCTGCTACACAGCGATTTTTTGTGGTGGTGACGATGATCATTGAAACTGCACTGTCCTATAGTTCGATCTCTCCAATGCGGAATGCAAGTTCGTCTGCTTCTTTTGCAGGGGTTGTGGTGACGTCAGAATGCCGAGCTCCGATTGGTTCTGAATGAAGAATAGTGGGTAGACCTCGAGGCAGCGTGTTTTGTTGTCTGCCTCAATCGGAGCCAATCGGAGCTCGGACGTCTTTCTTACTTCACCTCAACTCCTGCACAAGAAGCAGACGACTTGCTCTATGCTTAGCCCCAGTTGTAGACATGGCTTGACCCAGAACTGGCAGGGTGACACTGTGATGCAGTAATGCTATTAGAGCTGGACAGGGTTTACCAGTTCCCAGAGAAGTAAAATGTCCTTGCAAGAGGCAGTGCTTATTGTTAGAGATCGCAATTTTGTTTTTCGTTTAACGTTAGCTTGGTGGGACGACTAGTGGGATTGCAGACTGTATTTAAATTGTGGTTTTCTCTGTGTAGTGCGAGAAACCTAATTTTTATTTGAGGGCCTGCGTTCTTTCGTACAAGTACCGCGAGTCACCTAGGTCCACGAGAATGTAAATGTTTCTGTCCCTTTCCCAACATTTGTTTCTCATCATATCGCTGTTCCTGCTTCGTTTGTTGTTTATTTTTATATACTTTCATGAAATGGGCTGCGGTAAATATATAAGATATATTTTCTCTCTCTCCCTTTCCCTACTTTGCATGAAATTTCTAGAGCCCATAGTCTATACTCTGTTTCATGATAACTTGGTGAACTGTGGAGGCTTTGGGACAATGCATTTATACTAGGCTGTGAAGCCCACCTTGCACACCGAGGGTGGGCTCTGCACAGCACACAACCCCCTAGTTTCCATGTACTGAACAGTGGTGGACCACTTTCCAGGCGACCTTAGGTTGTCTTGGACTCGTCATCTTGCGGAACATGGGAATAAACGGCACACAAGAGACAAAGGCACTCTAGAAGGAAACCGACGGGACAAGCGCCGACACTCTCAAATCAATATACAGGATGTGCTACAACTTTGTGAGCTGGGGTACTTTGATGGGCCTACTTCGAGCCATATTCACCTTGTCTTCACAGATAATACCCCAAAAATATATGTCCATAGGCAGTCTAATAATATTTCAAAAACTGGTGGAGTAGCTTGTATTTTTTTTTGGCCGAGGCTACATCCACGCGCGGGGACGTAGCCAAGCCGGGAGGAGATAAGGCTCCATCCACGCAAAAGCCCACGTGACTTATAAAATAAGAACATAATTTGCTTTTATGTACATATTATGCGTTCTTGTAAGTAAATATAGGATATAAAAATAAAGAGGTTACATTTTATTGTTGTTTTAAAGTTAATATATCACGTGACTTTACAAATTCTTAGACAATTTATCAATGTTTCACTGTTTTCTAACACTAATAGGAAATATCATGCGTCATAAAAATAGTATCCATAGATATCTTTATCAGAGTGTCGAACCGAAATTTTTATCGGTTCGGTTCCGGTTCGGGTTCACGGCTTTCGGTTCGGTTCCGGTTCAGTTCCGGGGAGCAAAAAATAACGGTTCAAACCGGTTCGAACCGGTTCGAACCGGTTTGAACCACTAAATTGATAATATATTTTCCGCGTTGTTCTGACACTATACACTATTTACGCCGTGAAACAATCAACTATATAGTTTCTCCTCTCATCTGTGCAATAAACTTTTTTTTTCAAATACCAAAAGTATGAAATTCATTTTTTTTTTAAATTTCTTAACATACATAACGGCGTGTTCATACGACATAACATACACATTACCAGTAACATATATTTACCTGAATCCAAATGTTTCAGTATAGCAGTAAGGAGCTGAGCTTGTTGGTACATACCTGTAAATTGATCAGCTTGGAATTTAGTACTATACTGTCTTTTCCTGTCCTTTCTTTGTGTTTAAGTAAAATTCTGAAATTCAAGCTGATTTATTCCCACAGTATAAAATGTTGACGCCAAGTGTGGCATGGTCACCAAAACTACCCTTGATCGGTACGACTTTGTGTCGCAGTATTAAAAGTTAAATCGTGATTGTGTCCTCGAACTAAGGAATTAATTACTGCACAAAATTATGAAATGGGCGCCTCGTGGCCATATATATCGTGAAATATTGTTTACTAAATATGTTTCACAATATATATATGTATATGATGACGACACAACTAAGCAAAAGGCAATGAAATTTTCAAAATGTCACGAAAGTTCTAGGATAATCTCTTTCAGTCTATTTTTTAAGGAAATGCCGAGCGTCAATCAAAATGCTTGTTGTTTTAACCAAACATTGCTTACACTCAGCACCGCAATGCATGCGAATAATCATGCAGCAAGGAGCAATCAAAATTGTTCAGTCTAATCTAAATGCACATTCGCACTCAGATCGAATCTGGCCCAAAATAGCGCTTGCCCACGTTAGTTAACATTTTCTTATACAGGATAAGCTGGCATAGCCTGGCTATTGAGGTTTGCTCTTGACAAGAGGCCGGTCAATTTAATTTGCAAATGAGCATCACCCTTGCTAATTGATTATTTTAACGCAATAGCACTGAGAAGCTCATGTCGCAGAAAAGCCGATTTCGGTGACGTGACTGGAAAATCCTGAATGGTCGATAAGGTCATGACGTCAGAGCTACATGCCCTCGCTCAAGAATTTCAAACAACTCACAATGCTCACGTGAAACGTGACATCACGCATGGAATGAAAGTGATTAAAACATGACATGTAACGTGAATTGCAGGTCGCCGTATGTCTCTAATAATTTCTCTTTGCCTTAAAGAAAAAAAAAAGAATTTTAGGAGGTATTCGATCCCACGACCCTTCGGTTGCGAGTCAGACGCTCCCGACTAGGCAACCGAGGCACGCTGGCGCGGCAAGTAAGGAGGCGACTTTAAAGCCGAAGCTTAAGCGTCTCCCAAAGTACCTTCTTTATTAAGTAAAACGAAGTAGTATTTAAAGTTTTTCTCGGCATGGCAGCTACTTAATTGGATATTTTCTGACAGTTTTCGTGCGTAATCGTCATGGTTCAGCCGCGCGCCCCTGTTTACTTTTTTTTTGTCCAGCCCAGAGACACATTAAAGCAATGTTTACCACATAGAAGAGGCAATAACAGGCTTCTATATGTTTAAGAAGTTATATTTGTGAGGAACAAATTGTTGTTTAAATTAGCTTCAAAATCAGAAATGTATGTAAAGCTGTCCCAAATAACCTTCAACGTGCCTGTCGAGGATACAAACGCCGGAAAAGATTGGCAGAACACAGTTCAAATAATTTTGGGGGGCATAGCTTTTGGGTGGTCGGCCATTTATTTATGTTGTCAAATATTCAGTTAGCGATGCAATATGTTTTTATAATGATCAATAAATATTACCTTAAAAGTTCACATAACCGCTTGAGACCGACATGGAAGGAAGATACTCGAAACTACGCGAGCTGTTGAGTCTGCGTAAAAGTGTTTTTCTGTTTGCTGATTGGCAGTGTGAAACATCGGGTTGCAGGGTACGCCAAAAAGGACTCTGTGTTCACATGACAGATCTGAAAGCAAATACTCGAAATGTTAAAAAAAGAGATAATTAATGGTATTTTCCTAAATAATCTCTTACAGAACGCCTTACTGCAAAAAGAGATGCGTAAAGGTGCACGCAATGAAATTAATAATTTTACACGAATAGCGCGAAGGACCGATGAAATTCTTAAAATCTTATTATAAATCTCATTTCATCAGCTTGCATGAGCTCGAAACTTCGCAAAATACTACCTCGTGAGGCTAATGTTACATTCGGTTTTACCTGCACTTGTTTTGGGCCCTCGCTTTACAACACTGTGCTTCAATAATCATGCGCTCTAACATTTTTCTGGGCTGCCATCTATCATCGCGAGACTGCAATAAATACTGGAAAACTTTACAAGTAGGACATCTATTGCTAGTGTTGCGAACATCACATTTCACCAGAAAGCTGAACTGTTTAGCATGGCATGCACGTGACGTCATCATACTATATACTAGTAGTCATTGTGGCTTCTTGCTAAGAAAATCAAATTCGATGATGCAAAATGCACGCTGCAGGAGGTTCAAGCTCAGTGAAAGCCAAGTATTTGAAAGGCACGTATTATTATTCGTAGTGCATCTTCGCGAGGAACTGCGCGACCGTCTGGCACGACAAAAACGTGCTTTTTGGCAAGAGTGTTTTTGCAAACAAAGTAGTTTCCGGGCCCACGCTTTTTGGTCTCCGCCAAAGATGAGGGAAGGAGGAACCTCTTTACAACAGAGTATGTTTTTAAAACTACCCCCCTCCCCCACACACACACTCACGCACACACA